AACAAAATTTTCACGAATTGTGGTTAAGAAATTGAATGATGAGGATGAGAAATATTGAGAATGACATTTTCATGAGCACACTGTTTCATAGAATTACGCAAAAATAAAGTTCTCACTAATAAAAAGTGATTTACAGTAACCCTGAATAACCTTTTAGTGTTCCCTTGTGTTCCTCCTTCTCAAATCAAGTTAAAGAGCCATAGCGCATTTGATAGTCACTTTTGCCTACTCTAGTAGTGATTTTTTAAATATATTGTTTAACCAAAATTTTGTCATGCAATGTTAGTTTATACATGCCTTGAAGCAAATCACATAAAAATAATATATTTAAATATCAATGGTTCCCTCATATGACAAATATAAAAATCATTCAGTTTATATGGAGAATATAGTAAATACTGAGGTACCCCCCTAAACAATGAGAAACTGTAGCTAAAGACCACCCTTAACCAGAGAAACAACTTCTGAAAAATTTTATTTCGATATGACTTCACTTCATTACATTTAGATAATTTTGGTTAAAGGTGATCTTCATATTGAAAATGTTGAAAATATGTATTTAATTTTTCTTCAAAAAATTATTTCAATCTGTCTTAATTTTATCCATTAAACTAACATGACTTTGTTGGTATTATTGCTGGATTGAAGACATAATGATTGTGAGTTTGAGTCTCACATGCAGTGCGTGTTTCTTATCTGCGATTTTGTTTTTTTCTATGTGCATTTTTCCTATGTTTTCTTTTATCATTTTTTTTATAATACTTGTATAAATAATGTAAGAGATATATAATACAACATTACACCTTGAAAGTATCTCAGGAAAAAAACAGTCTTACACTAATTTAATGACCCCAAGTCATAGCTGCTAGCTTGTTTTATTTTAAAAATTTTCTAACAATCTTGTTTAGAATAAGAGTATTGGACAAGTAAAATTATTGTCATGTAACAAACTTGCAACTATGAAAATATAACACTGGTCCACAAATGATTACATATACATGTAATTTGATTTTGAATTGAAAAGGTACCTGTATCTATAAATAGAAACAGGTGATTTCCATTTAAATACTTGAGTAGGCCGAATCGTCGGTAAGGCAGCTATAGCTCTTTTGTGAAAATGAAAACAATACAAACCTAGATTTAGCTTGTCTTGATTGGACACTACAGCAGCATCATGGTTTCCATGACTACCAAATGTGACATCACCAAGATGGAGAAGAGCTGCTAGGAGCTGGAGAATATTCTGGATATCCTGCAGACAAGTACACAATATTTCTTACCATTATACTTCAACTTCCATACTATTAGTCTCTCTGTATCATGTACTATCTTGAGCATCAAATATACTATTGAGAGTATATGTACTTACTGATCCTTAGCATGACGCCGATGAGTTTTAATTCAAAATAGTCAGTTTTACAAAGTTACAAACAACTGCTACCAAATTTAAAGCAAAAAACCTCTTTCAAAATGAGATTTTTTTTTTCATATTTTATAAAGAAATACTTAGTTACATGATCAAAACCTATCCTCACTAGGATTCTTTCAAAGAAAAATGCTTAACCTGCACCAAGTTCATTGACTTACATCAGTTGTAAATCCTACAAACTGCAGACACTGTTTGAGTTCCCAGAACTTTTCTTTATTGGTTGTGTTTATCAGACTTTTCATGTCCAAGCCCTTCTGTGCCAGGTATCTGTAAGGATAAAACATCAGCACTTTTATAATACTAGTAATTTAAAGATAGAGAGTTCATACAGAGAGAAGACTTATTATTTCATAATTTGACTTTTGTTATTAGCATATATTAGATCTTAAACTTGAAGTTAAGAGTTCACTTAAATTGTGAGATTAATCAGAGCTGACATAGACTAGGAAGTTGATAAACCCTACTCACCAGTGCTTTAAATGTACCTGTGTTAATACCTGATAATTTCACTCACCTGTAATTTTAGATGTCCCTGAGCTGATACCAAAAATATTCTCTGCCATTTTGAAATCCCAGATTTACATATTCAACTGTGTTTTGAAATGTCCCTAAGTTGATTAACCTTTTCAACTGTGTTTTGAGATGTCCCTGACCTAATTAACCTATTCATCTATGTTATGATCTGATCTGATAAACCTACCTACCAGCTGTGTTTTGAGATGTCCCCGATTTGATAAACTTACATATCTGTGTTTTGAGATGTCCCTGAGTTGATTATGAACTTCCTTACCTGTGTTTTGAGATGTCCCTGACCTAATTAACCTATTCACATGTGTTTTGAAATGTCCCTGGCCTTATTAACCTATTCACCTGTGTTTTGAGATGTCCCTGACCTAATTAACCTACTCATTTCTGTTTTGAGATGTCCCTGACATAATTAACTTATTCACCTGTGTTTAGAGATGTCCCTGAGCTGATACAGGTTGGCTTCCTCTGGTGACATTCCTGAGAACAGCCAGTAGAAGATGTGGTAGTTTAGCTCTCCCTCCCCCTGGAACACCACTCGGGACTTCTCCAGCAGGAATTCTGTCAGGTTAGCTGTAACCACAGATAATAAAGTAAATGATTCCCTTTACTATTCACTCTGACTTAAAAACTGTACTACAGCCCACTTGTGAACAAACTACAGTTGCCTTGCTGTTTGATATTTATGAAATTTTCTCCCATCTATTTGGGTCTTTTTCAAACTTAAAGAGTCAATTTTTTCTATGATTAAAGTTAAATATATAATGAAGATGTATGCATGTTTTGTTTTGTTTTTTCACTAATCAAGTGGATAGTTTTATATGAGAAAATTATACCTCCCACAATTTTTCCTTTTCCATTGAAACTCAGCTGCATGAACTTGGCAAATCGGCTGGAGTTAGAGTTGACCACAGTTTTGGCATTTCCAAATGCTTCTAACAAAGGATTTACCTACAATACAACAGAATCACAGATTTCATTTCGATTCCCTGAGTTACTTATATATGCCTAATTACGTATCATAAAACTTGTAATGAAAATGTGCAAGGTTTCAACATTTTCTGTCATAAAAAATTGTGCCACAGCCCAAATACAATTATCACCATGCATCCTGTTAATTTCTTTTTACATAATTTTAAAGAAATTTGTTATTGATTTTGTGTTGTCATTTGCTTTTTTTTGTTTTTTTCATATTGTTGATTTTATTTACACCCCTAAATTTCTACTAACTGTGATGTTTTGCAACTTTCCCTGCTTGTAAAGCATTTGAGTTTTATTTATTTACATAAAAGGTTAAAAACCCACACCCTTATACTTTTGTGATGACCTGCTGTTGAGTTTGCTTTTCTTTACACCCTACTACCCTGTGATAACCCTGTTGAGTTTGCTTTCACATGTCACACCTCCACGTTTTGGTAACCTGTGATATCTTGTTTCTGAGGCTGCTCTCCTCACTTCCTGCGATACACACCAGGTGCTGTACCAGGAATTTACAGGTCTCTGTTTTACCAGCACCACTTTCTCCAGAAATGACACAACACTGTGAGGTACTGGTTGACAGCAGACATCTGTAGGCTTTCTCTGCTACACCATACACATGTGGGGGCAAGGGAACAGAACTCTTACAGTGGTACTTTTGTGACACCTGTAATTTAAAGTAAAGAAATAGAAAGTTGCAACTGCAATTGCTGGTATATTTATAATTTTATAAATATTTCCTAAATCTTTATCAAATGTATGCACAAATGCATTGATTTTCTATTACATAAGTATCTCTTTTAAAATGTTGTACCTCTTTGGAATAAATTTGAAGATCTTGAAATGGATTAACTGCAATCAGAATATCACCTATGTGGGTCTAAATACAAAAAAAGAAAATATCAAGAAAGCAAGACAAAAAATAGAAGAAATGTAATAAAATTGTTTTGTTCTGATTGAAAAACTGGATTGAGAATTTATTTCTTAGAAATCTTACATAGATCTGTCCAGCAGAAAACCTTTTCTGGATTTCTTTAAGAATTGCACTCTCATGGAGGCACCATCTGCCAGGTTGTCAGATTTCAGAACCAAATTGACCATGTACTGATTAATAAAAGGTGGAGAGGTACACTGCAGGATGTAAGAGCATTGAGAGGGGCTGATGTAGGAAGTGACCACACTCTTGTCCTAGCAAAGCTGAAATTGAAATTGAGAAAGATAAAGAAAGGGGAACAACGGTCACCTCAAGTGGATGTGAGCAAACTCAAAGATCCTGCACTCATGAAATCATTTCAGCTGGAGGTTAAAAACCGATTTAACATCCTAAAAGATGAACAAGAACTCAGTATTGAACAATTTAACACCACACTTGTTGAAGCGGGAAAGAAAACACTGGGGTTGAAAAGGAAGAAGAAGGAAGAATGGATATCATCTAAGACCTGGGAAATGGTGGAACTAAGACGCAAAACAAAGAAGAAAATATTAACAGCCAAGTCAGCTAGGTTAAAAGATCAGCTAAAAGAAACATACACAATACAAGACAAGGAAGTTAAGAAAAGTGCACGAAAGGACAAGAAGGATTACATTGACAAGCTTGCGCAAGATGCAGAAAATGCTGCCTCTAAACAAGACATGGGGACATTATACCGTATTACAAAAACTCTGAGTGGTGGTTTTAAAAGCACAGATACACCAGTGTGAAAACAAGATGGAGTATTGGCCTCAAGTATAGAAGAAGAGCTTACCTGTTGGAAAGAGCATTTTGAAAGGGTATTAAACCAGGAATGTCCATCAACAGAACATGCTGAAATTATTGAAGCTATGGACACTTTGGACATCGATACCAACACACCAACAATTGAGGAAGTAAAACATGCCATCAAACTTCTCAAGAATGGGAAAGCCCCAGGGATCGATCAAGTACATGCAGAAATGTTAAAAGCTGAGGAAGTATTAACACCCAGACTTCTCACAGATATCCTGCAAACTATTTGGCAGACAGAAACAGCACCAGATGATTGGAAGGTTGGTCTCATAGTGAAGCTGCCCAAGAAAGGTGACCTAGCGGACACAAATAATTGGAGAGGGATTATGTTGTTGTCAGTTACCAGCAAAGTCTTAAGCAGAGTCATCTTAAATAGAATGGCCTCAGTGGTAGACCCATACCTTCGCAAAGAGCAAGCTGGATTTAGAAAAGGAAAATCATGCACAGATCAGATATTTTCCTTGAGGCAAATCTTAGAACAAAGCAATGAATGGAATGCTACGTTGTATGCCAACTTCATCGACTTTGCCAAAGCATTTGACAGTATACACCGTCCTGCTTTATGGATGATCCTAAAACATTACGGCATCCCTAATAAGATCATATCCATCATTCAGATGCTATACAAGGACTTCCAGGCAAAGGTCATCTGCGGAACTGAACTAACAGACAGCTTCCCAATCCAAACCGGGGTACGACAGGGATGTCTGCTTTCACCATTGCTGTTTAGTTTCTGCATAGACTGGGTTATGAAAATTACTACCAGTCAGACCAGTCGAGGAATATCCTGGACATTTCAACAGTCACTAGAAGATCTTGACTTTGCAGATGACATCGCTTTACTATCACAGCGATATAAGGATATTCAAAGCAAAACTGATGACCTGGTCAAGTATAACAAACAAATTGGATTAAATATAAATGTAAACAAAACAAAGTTAATGAAGATAAATACAAAGATAGATAAAGAAGTCACAGCAAACAATGACAGAATAGAAGAAGTAGACAATTTTACATACCTTGGCAGTAAGATCACAGCCAATGGAGATTCCACCATTGACGTAGAAAATAGAATTTCAAAAGCCCGTGCCATCTTTGCCAACCTACGGAACATCTGGAAATCCTCAATTATCAGATCCAAAACCAAACTAAGGATATTTAAAACAAATGTCATCGGAGTCCTTCTCTATGGATCTGAGTCATGGAAGGTGACAAAGAACATCTCACAAAAACTGGATACCTTTCAAACTAGATGTCTCCGTAGAATACTGAAGATATTCTGGCCAAACAAGATCACCAACGAGGAGCTGTATGAAAGAACACACACAGCTACTATATCTGACCAGATTAAAGAAAGACGCTGGAAATGGATTGGCCATGTGATGAGGATGAAACCATCAGAGATACCAAGGGTAGCCCTAAGATGGACTCCACCAGGAAAGAGAAACAGAGGGCGACCAAAGGAGACATGGCGACGGTCGGTTGAAAAGGAAATGAACGATCAAGGGTGGACTTGGGGCACTGTACAGACAATGGCAGCAGACAGACAGAGATGGAGGTCCTCGGTGCAGGCCTTATGTGCTCCAAGCACGAAGAGGACTAAGTAAGTAAGTAAGTACTTTTGTATATAAAGAACACCAAAAAAAAACCTTTGTTAACAATAAATCATTAAATCCTGACAGAATTCAAATTACACCTGCAATAGATAGTTTTCGATAGGCCTGAATTTAGCGAAAGTTACCTCCCGTTGGCCGCCATATTGGAGGTCGACTCAATGATTTTCCCTCTTTGTCTTACCAAGTTTAAGAAAATATAGCAGACGCCAGTTTCGAGATAGGAACTCTTTTATTTTAAAGGCGCGAATAACGCTCCAGTTGACGCGGAGGTGGGACACTTTTGTAAACAGAATTCTATATATAGAGGCATGTCGTTAAACGTTGATTCAATGCTGAAACCTCAGCTGAAATTATTTCTAATTGAACGTGGAATGAGTGTAAGTGACTATAATGTGTTTCAACTTCGTGAATTAGCCAAAAAAGCTATAGAATTAAAATTGCCCATCTTGAAAACCCCCGATGACGCTCTTGACTACCTGCGCCAGCGAAGCCGTATTATTATTGACGGTGAGGTTGTTCAATTTCCATTTGTTACATCCAACGAATTAAAAAAATGGACTGATGATTTGAAAAATATTCCTGCATTTTGTCAAGCAGATGTATTTGTTTATTTACTGTCCAAGTCTGATGCGTGGTCCCCCATTCGTCTCCAAAATTACAAGTGTGAACAAGGTTACAGACTGTATCAATCTAATCATATTCACTCCGTCCAGTGTCATGACTTGACTCATAACCATCTATATGTGAAATCATTATGCATTAGAGAGACTTCCCAGTCAGCTGATCCCTACAGGACATGGTGCCTCTTGAATTGTACTGATGGCAGTTGCACTTCTGCTGGGTGTGATTGCACTGGGTAAATAATGATTAAAACTAAATTATTTTTTAAACTTTCATAAACATTATTAAAACTACAAGCAGTGCTATTATTGTGCAAAGAAAAAAACCCTTAAATCTGAAGATAATAATTTATTATTACCACAGCTGTTGACTGATCAAATAAAATAAATATATCTATTCAACTTGGCAATGAATTCAAATATCAACATATTTAACAATAATAATAATTTAACAATAATAATTTATAATTGTCAGATCAATACATATATATACAATAAAAATAATTGCACCAATTATGAGGAATCACTGTAAATATTCATGGAAAAAAAATCTAAAGGATTTAAAGAATAACTATAATAGCTAGTACAGAAAATATTTGCAGCGTCAAGCATCTTTATGTTGAGTTACATATATTTTAGAGATGATGGTGGATGTAAACATGTTGTGGCCCTATTATTCAGTTTGGCAATGTGGTCTGAGAGGCATACTGATAGAAACACAGAAACATGTACTGACAAAAAGTGTGCCTGGGATGTTCCCCGTAAAGCATCGAATCCCAAACTGTTGGATGAAATTGAACTATCAACTGAAAAAAATCGCATTTATCCATTTGAACATTGCTTTGACCCTACTACCATAAGTCAAAACAATTGTGATGTTGACAATATGCTTTTAAACTTAGTAAAAGATCATGACACACAAATTATTGAAGTACTTGATTTATCTATTAAAGATTATAATGCACCAAATATGCCCAAAACTTTGAAACAGTGTATTTCAAACTTTGACCCTAATGGGAATTTATCAGTTTTTGACTATTTATCTACATGCATTGGGGAAAAAGACTGTAATGAAATTTACAAGCTTACGGACCAACAATCAGACTCAGTCTATTGGTATAAATATAGATTTGGGAGAATTACTTCTTCTGTATTACACAATGCTTGTAATTATAAAGGAAATGACCCTAATAACTACATTGTAAAACAAATATTGAGCACTGATAGTACATCATTTTCAACCCCTGCTACTATCTATGGGAAGGAAAGAGAAGTTTTAGCAAGAAATTTATTTGAAAAACAGTATGTTGCCAAACATCAAGGTGGAAAAGTTAAATATTCTGGTCTTATTATTGATTCCAGTAAACCTCATCTTGGTGCTTCACCAGATGGAATTGTACAGTGTCGATGTTGTGGAACAGGTATTCTTGAAATTAAATGTCCATACAAATTTAGAAATTACACTTTAGATAAGATTTTTGATGAAAAATATCATATTAAAATGGATGAAAATGGTTGTATGAAGTTGAAAGAAAACTCAAACTGGTATACTCAAATTCAAACACAAATGGCTGTTGCAAATGTACAGTGGTGCGAGTTTGTTTTGTATTTAGAAGGTGATGTCACCATTGGAAAACACAAAATATACACAGAAAGAATATATTTTGATCCATCCTTTTGGAGTTCATTGTTTGAAAAATCAAAAGTATTTTTTGAAAGATTTTTATTGCCAAAGTTGCAAGAAATCTAATGTCTGCTAATGCTTAATATGCTTTGTTTGTATTGTGACTTGTGGTTAGCTTTTGGTTGCAAATATTTCATGCACAATATTATAATATGCTATATTATGAATAGCATGCTCCCTGTGAAATATAAATTGCCATGACAGTATAATATTGTATAAATAGTTTTTCATTGAAAATACTAGAACAAAATATTAATAAATATACCTTGAACATGAACAATGTATGAGTTGTATTGATTATAAACCTGGCATAAATAATTAGAGCAAGTCATAATTTTTTTTATTATCAACCATAACTGCATAAAAAAAAATTTAAACATGTGGTGCAGTTTTTTTTGGTATTTTTCTCAGAAATTTGATTACCTTCTAACTAATGGTGGCATTAAATTGCATAAAAATGCTGCAACTTTTATCATCTGATTCATAATTGGTTTTAAAGACCATGGAATGATATTTCCAAGAAGTCTGAATAATTTCAATCTCTGGATGGCTCTTTCAACATGAATTCTAAGCTTGGCAATTTTTCTGGTTTGCTTTATTTCGTTAACATTTAACCGTTTCTTTTTTCCCCAAGAACACTTTCTAGTAAAAGGAGGAATGTTTAATGTAGCTTTTTTATTTGTAATTAAATCTCTAATTGTAAACCCACGGTCCGCCATGATATCATCATCTTCTTCAACAAAATCTAAAAATCCAGAATCAAGTGAAATAAATCTGTCTGATACATTACCACCATAAACCTTTGAAACAAATGTAAAAGTTCCTGAAGGTGATATAGCTAGTAGACATTTACCTGTATTCTTAGATTTGTAAGTGCTGTATGTAGCTGCCTGAGAAGTGGGTGATCGAGGACGCTGAAAGAAGAACTCTGTACAATCTATGACTGCACGTGTGTTGGGATAATTTTTCCTGAAAGACATTGGCATATATTTTCTGACCTGATTTCTAGTTGGCCATCTTATTAAATACCCAAAAACATTTGACATGAAAGTAATCCATGTTATGAAAATTTGTGAAACTCTAGATTTTGAAATTCCAAACACATCTGCAAGGCAAAATTCATAAATTCCTAAGCGTAAACGAACAAGTGTCAATATAAATTCCTGAAAAAGAGACAGTTTTCTCGTTGGACCAGGTTTCTCGCGTCTCGGGTTTCTCTGGTAATTTTTTTCTTTGGCACTTTCTTGGCCAGACCAATACTTCAGAGAAGAGCATTTGGAAACAAGTATGTTGAATATTCCTAATAGCAGGGCAAGAGATGGTAAACCAGTATATGATCTAACATTTGCATCATTTTTTGTTATGTTTTCAACAAAAGCATCTCTTAACAGTGATGATTTATCAGCTAATTTAGCTTTCAGATTTTTGTTCTCCTCACTCAACTTTGTAATGTCATTCATGGTCAATTCTGTTTGCACTGATCTGTCTGTGAAAGGAGGTGAACACTGAGGTGTTGCTATGTAGGAGTGATCAGATGAGGGAGGTCTTCTCTCAGTATCTTCAAACTTCTTTCCCTCAAGTAAAACTAAAAAATACAACCATGTATATATAAAACTTACATAAATATTTTTCACAGTATTAAAATTAATTCAAATGGCAAGGTATTAAAAATTTTGATATCTATCTTAATAATATATCTGATCAGAATAAATTTGTACCATTAGAGTTTGCTTCAGACACCTCTATTTCACCAATGTATGGAATTGATTTATCTTCATATATACAGAAGTCATCTGAGGTGTCTGTGGATATGTCACAATGTTCCCTCTCTGGTGCAAATCTATCATTAACAGACTGGTCTGTGTTGCTGGAGTTACAAGTAGTTCTGTAATATAAATTTTATTATTCTAAATAATATAAATTTATACACTAGACTATACTGGATAAGTGTGGACCTTGCTTTTTAAGAAAAATCCATGTATATTATAAATCATATGAACTTACATGCATGGATTAGAGGAGGATTGAAACAAAAATTTATTTACTTAATTTTTTACACTTAATTTTCTACATAAAAGATTGACTTTTTTGTCTATGATTTAATTGTCCATGAGTATCATACAGTATATGTTTGTTAACAATACCTTTCAAGTAGGACCCTTGTATTGAAATCTAGAGATGGATAATGATCGATTCAAGTAGTTTTGTCAAATTTTTTAAATACTTTCAATTGTAAAAAGAAGATTTGATGATTGTACAAACCTTTTCTTAGACGTCTCTTTAAAGTTGTTGTACGGAAAAAGCGTTGGCGTGTCACAGCCGCTATCAAAATGAAGTGAACATATTCTAGTATATTTGTTGGGCCTCCATCCTCTTTCTCGTCGAATCATATTTATCCATTTATTTCGTTTAATTTTGTTCGATTTTTTTGGTAGAGAGAAAAATTTTACATTATGAAGATGGGGGTATTTTGTTAAATTTAATTTTTTTCGTGTAGATGACGTGCATCCCGGCACACAACAATGATAAACGGGCATTGCGATATTCACAGCGTCGTATCCAATGTAAACTGTCCCACCTTCCGGTTTACGCGGAAACGAAACTCACCTCCGCGACAAAAGAGCGCATCAAGGGAAGTAATCTCGAAACTTGCGTATTATTGGTCATTAACTCATTATCAGCTGTTCATGTTTGGCTTCGTATGAGGATACGAGGTCACGTGTTAGACAGAAGTCATGTGACAAAACAGACAAAATGGCCGCTGAAATCAAGCATGTTTAGCGCACGGGACCTAAAAACACTGGCCACTGGCCACGTTAGACAGGTGGCCGCTTAAATGAGTTAAAATATAGTGAAAAAATGAACGGGCGGGATTGAAACTGGCCGCTCATGGGGAGTGGCCGCTGATTAAGGGTGGCCGTAACAGCAGGTGCGACTGTATTCCTATTATTATAATAGTTGTATGAACATGTTAACTTCCCCAAATTCTACCTCCATTTCCTGTCATTATCAGCTGTTGAGTTTGTTTTGTTTACACCCTTGTACTACCCTGTGATAACCTGCTGCTGAGTTTGCTTTCCCAACCCCTAATACTAACCTGTGATATCTTGTTTCTGAGGCTGCTCTCCTCACTTCCTGCGATACACACCAGATGTTGTACCAGGTATTTACAGGTCTCTGTTTTACCGGCACCACTTTCTCCAGAAATGACACAACATTGTGAGGTACTGGTCGACAGCAGACATCTATAGGCTTTCTCCGCTACACCATACACATGTGGGGGCAAGGGGACAGAGTTCTTACAGTGGTACTTTTGAGACACCTGAAACGTGAAATAAAGAATCCAGTTTCTTCATATATTAATGATCTTATATAAGATTCTTTAATTTTTATCAGTGATTTACTTTACATAAGTAACCTTTGAAAAATGCTGTACCTCTTTGGAATAAATTTGAAGATCTTGAAATGGATTAACTGCAATCAGAATATCACCTATGTGGGTCTAAACACAAAAAAAGCAAATATCAAGAAAGCAAGACAAACAAGAGGCCCATGGGCCACATCGCTCACCTAAGCACTGTGGCTAGGAAAAAGTAGAAATTGGTTTATTATTGAAAAGTTTAAATCCAAAAGTAGTCCCATGACCTATCATGGCTTTGCTATTCTTGAGAAGATGATTTTTAAAGAATTTTCCTATATATGTCTATGTAAAACTTTGATCTGCCATTTTGGCCCCACCCTGCCCCCAGTGGTTATGATTTGAACAAACTTGAATCTACACTATCTGAGGATGCTTCCATATAAATATGATCAATTATAGCTTTTCTATTCTTGAGAAGAAGTTTTTTCAAGAATTTCCCTATATATTTCTATGTAAAACTTTGGTCGGCCATTTTGGCCCTGCCCTACCCCTGGGGATCATGATTTGAACAAACTTGAATTGACACTACCTGAGGATGCTTCCATATAAATATGATCAATTATGGCTTTGCTATTCTTGAGAAGAAGATTTTTAAAGAATTTTCCTTTAAATTTCTATGTAAATTTTTGGTCGGCCATTGTGGGCCCGCCCTACCCCAGGGGGTCATGATTTGAACAAATTTGAATCTACACTACCTGAGGATGTTTCCCCATAAGTTTCATCTTTCCTGGCACAGTGGTTCTTGAGAAGAAGATTTTTAAAACATGCCACCAAATTTTCATTAATTCCCAATTATCTCCCCTTGAATGAGGGCGTGGCCTTTCATTTGAACAAAATTGAATCCCCTTTACCCAAGGATGCTTTGTGGCAAGTTTGGTTGAAATTGGCCCAGCGGTTCTTGAGAAGAAGTCGAAAATGTGAAAAGTTTACAGACAGACAGACGGATGGACGCCGGACAAAATATGATCAGAAAAGCTCACTTGAGCCTTTGGGTCAGGTGAGCTAAAAATAGAAGAAATGTAATAAAATTGTTTTGTTCTGATTGGAAAACTGGACAGAGAATTTATTACTTAGAAATCTTACATAGATCTGTCCAGCAGTAAACCTTTTCTGGATTTCTTTAAGAATGGCACTCTCAGAGATATCTGGAAGATCTGCCAGGTTGTCAGATTTCATCACGGATGGAAGTTGGGCCTGTTGAGTACATGATATCAAATTTAAGATTTCAATTGCATTCACAACTCAAAACAATGTACAAACAGTGCAGGGTATAAATTGTCTCAATCTCCTTTCAATGATTAGTTCATTTATTCCATCAACCTCTCTCCTTCTCTATCTGGCCTACCTTGGAGTCATTGACATTCCTCCAGATTTTGGACACGTAGATTTCCTCGTACATGTCGTCTGCTGACTCGTCATGGCGACTGTCGTCTGCTGACTCGTCATGGCGACTGTCGTCTGCTCTGGCTGTTTCCTCTTCCTCTGTCCTGCCCTCCACCTTCTCCCTCTGTTTTACCTCTAGCATCTCATCCTCCTTGGCAAGAGTCGTGTGTCGGTATCGACTGAGAAATTAATTAAAATCAAATTTAAATTTTTTATTCAAAATGCACTTAACATTTTGCAGAATGAATTCTTTAGTATTACAATTTTTTAATTAAAATTGAAGTAAATGGATTGCTAATATCAGCTGCCTATTAATTACTTTTACTCCTGAAGGGATGGATACTGAGCAAAGAAGAAATATTTATGGCATAGAGAGGAAACTTTGACC